GATGTGGGGCTCGATCCCAGGACCCTGGGATCATGACCTGAGCCGAAGGCAGACGCTTAACGACTGAGCCACCCAGGCGCCCCTCTCTTTTTTTTTTTGGAGATTTAATTTATTTATCTGAGAGAGAGAGAGCATAAGCAGGGGGAGGGGCAGAGGGAGAAGCAGACTCCTTGCTTAGCGGGGAGCTTGACGGGGGATTAATCCCAGGACCCTTGAGATCATGACCTGAGCCAAAGGCAGTGGCTTAACCAACTGAGCCGCCCCGGCACCCTATAGTGTTTGTCAATTTTCCTGATGAAAATATTCCCTACAGCTGATTTCCAGCTAGCACCATGGTGTCACTGAAACTGTGGCTTTGGGACATGAGGTTCCATATCACACTATTACGTAGTATTTCTACCGTAGTGATATAGTAGACACAAATAACCTCAGGAACATAAGTAATATGTATTAATTGGGAAATCATACATTTTGAAGGTTTATTATTTTTGTTTGTAATATAATTTAATTGTAAGTTTATGTAATTGAAGTTTTAGTAACAGCCGTGTCTAACAACTCACAAAATTCTTAAAAAGATGACAATCTGATCTCATGAGCAATTGGGCTCCAGCGCACTGGTGAAATTGCAGGACCAGTTTCCTTTTAGTTTGATGGTAGATTGATGGGACGTAGGAGGCCTCACTTCTACTTGTCATACATGGGCATGCTAGATTAAAAAATTAAAAAAAAAGTAGTTGAGCTAACAAACAAAATTAAATCTCTGGGTTCTAGAAATGGAATCACAATAGTGCATGAACATGGTGGGTAACCAGACCCTATTTACATCTTATTAAGATTTTATGACTCCAAGGGGCTTGGAGTTTAGGCTGCAGGCTCCATGTGTTGCAGAGAGCTAGAACTGGGCTCTTGACATATGACATAATGATGAGAGCCAGGTGCCGGCACTCCATGGGAAAAACTACCCACCAGACAGAGGCTGCAGCTTGCCAGCATGTGGGCCCTACACTTCCTGAGAAATTGGGCATCCCTTTCCTCTCCTCTTCTCCTCTCAGATGAGGTCTCTGCATTCTTGTTCCACTTAGAACCACCTAGAAGTTCTGACCTGAGAAACAATGAGTCAGTGAACCCTTCTAGGCCTTTGCAGAGATGGTGAAAAAAATCACAAGACACCTTCACAATTTGGACTCAGGTGCTGTTTCTGCAGAAGATAACTCCTGTTGGAGATGAGTCCCAGGGAAGAATTACAATACATGTAGGGAAATCCAGTACCCTGAGAAATTACACATGCAATAGATGGAAGAATCATGTACGTGACAGAATAATCTAAAAGGGCTTTAAAATAAGCATGTATACCATATTCAAGGAGATAGAGAAAGGAATATGATCTATAAGATAAAAATAAGATATGGGAAAACAAAAACAAATAGATTTAAGAAAGAACCAAATAGATGTTTTTAGAAACAAAAAGTACAATCTTTCAAATAAAAATTCAACAGACACAGTGACTCAGTGGTTGGTTAAGCAATGTGTTAGGTACAGCTGAAGAGAGAATTAGGGAATTGGGGGATAGATCTGAGAAAATCCCCATAATGCAGTACTGTGATTGGATTGTGTTCATGTCAAAAATTTGATTTTTTGTACTTTAGTATCAAATGTAAATTTTAAAAATATGTTTTTATGGCTTGATATTTGATAACACACTTAAGAAAAGCTATGAACATTTTGACATTTTATGAATTTGATACTTTGGATAATTGGATATTTTTGGACTTTATAAACATTAGTAGAACAGGACATAGAATGGTGCCTGGTATATTATAGGGACTTTATAAATAAGTTCTGGTTGAATGAATGAATGAATGAAATGTTAGAATAAAATCATAGCTGTTACTTAGAAATGCTTGATTTTAGAAGTGAGCAAAGCCCTTAGGACTCATATACCTTACTTCTAAGGTCCTATTTTTCATTTTAATCTATTGATATTCATTTTAGAGGTAAGCTCAATTGTATAAATAAAGTATCACTACTAACATGTGTCTTTTCCAGGATTTTGCTTGGCTTCTGAAAAACTAAGGGTATATATTAATGAAGTAGGGTTTTTTCCTCTATGGTTCTGGATGAATTGAACAAAGGTTGTATTATGCGAAGTTTCCATTTGATGACAGCTTGCCCATTCTGGACTTGTCAGTAGCAAGGTGTGGTGGGATTCTTAATTGTAGGCTATACTGTATTTTGTTTATAAGAGACATATAACTACAAAGGATATTACTAAGAAGCAGTTGTGAGCTATTATCAACTGAATTCTTCCTATTCCACAAAACAAAAAGGAACTCCACACAAATGACAGTTTTCACTAGAATTTTAAATTATCCTTAAATTCTAAACACTTTTTCATTCTTACACCAGTGAGAAGCCTTGCTTTGTCATTTCAAAAGTGGAACATTGGGTGAGTTTTGTTCATGACAGACTGCTTATTTGACTCTCTGCACCATGCATTTTCCCTGAGCAGGTGCGGGCGTTCTATACAAAGGTTCTGAGTGAAGAGGAGAGGAAACGCCTATGTGAGAACATTGCTGGCCATCTGAAGGACGCACAACTTTTCATCCAGAAGAAAGCGGTGAGTGATATTTTGTGAGCTGACGGGTGACATCTGCTGGCCGGAGAAGAGAGTGCAGCTGTGTGAGAGACCCCTTAAAAGGAAGTGTCGTTTCTATTCTATTAATCGAACTTAAAAAAATTAGTACAAATCCCAACCCACCTCCGATTCTTTTCTCTGCATGTTTTATCTCCAGTGAATTTGGCGTATCCATTGATCCTTTAGCTCCTTGTCCAGTGTATAATAATTGAGTTGAATTCAGGGTGAATTCTGTTCTATGCTCTTCATTGACTGTGGCCAAATTCTGTGCCAGAGTCATGTCCAATATAAAAATGTGGGTCCTGCCACAATTTTGCTTTGACTTTAGAAGATAAGAAATATGGATTGCATTTTTGTGTTGTGAAGCCTGTCTAACCACTCGGTGTCATGACACCTGACCCTCCTTCAGAAGCAACTAGAAACTTGCATGCTCTCTGGGGAGAGCTGAGCTGCTTCCAAAACTCAGGCTGAACTTCTGGGCTGAGATGCCAGGGAATTTCTGATGGCAGCTCACTGTGCTGCGTGGAGCCTTCTCACTTGCAGTTTTCGGGCCTGCCACAGGGGTCAGCTTCTTGGAAACTGAGACAACCCCACAGTTGCCTTGTGTCTTGGTTGGTGCTTCTCTGTTCAAAGGGGCTCTCTGGGACGTGTTCAAAGGCCTGGAGACAAGTACCAGCAGGCTGGGCGCTTGCTCTGTAGGCAAAGTTCTATGTCTTTAACTGTCTTTCACAAGTGTGTATATAAAAATAACCTTTTAAATTGCTGAGGCACTGTTTACGCATTGCTGTCTGTAGCAGAGAGCTGGACGGTTGCTCTGTGAGGTAGGCGGGGGCAGGTTTTATCTCACTGATAAGAACGAGTGGGACAGTATGTAAGTAGCACAACTGGGCTTGAACCCTTGGCCTTTGCTCGCATGTGCTGAAGCTGTAGGGCTTCCTGGGGGTTCACGATGCCCCCTTCCTGCTGTCCGCTCTGTATGAGCCCATGGTCAGGAGTTCCTGCTCCAAGCCTGTGGACTTGCCCAGCACGGGCCACTGTCTGTGTATCCCTGGCTTGAAACTCAGGCAGTGTCTGGGCCCATCTCGTTACACAAATCGCTGTGACTTGTTGAGTCACCCTGAGGTCGGCTCCTTACGTGCACTAAGTGCCGCTCTCCTCATTCTCTGAGGTAGGTTTAATTATGTTGTTCATTTTATTGGGAGTGGACACTGAAGCTCAGAGGAATGACTTATCCAAGGTTGCTCAGCCAGTATGTGCCAAGGATCCCCCAAATCTTGCTCTGTGTTGTTAAACACTGTGTTGTTCTGCCTTCCTTCCTCCCCTACAGAGTAAACACCGTGCTGCACATGCCGGGGGCTGGCCTAGGAGGGGGGTAGGGTCATATTTACATTCTTTTCATTTGGTTTCAGGTCAAGAACTTCAGTGATGTCCATCCTGACTATGGGGCCCGCATTCAGGCTCTTTTGGACAAATACAACGCTGAGAAACCTAAGGTGAGCCCAGAGCAGCCTGGCTGTGGTAAAGGAAGGGTGTCCTGGATCAGACTGGATTGGATGGTTTGGTTTCCTTTTGTGATGATTCTTCTCAGGGACAACTATTAGATTTTTCAAGCTGTTCAGACACTCACTTGATAGGTAAAGAACTCACCTGCAAAGCACATCCTCTTCACTTTAGCTCTGGACCCCATAAGGTAGTGTAAGTAAATGCAATCCCCAATGGTTATTATCTTCATTTGAGCACAAATTAAAGCTAAGATGAATACCAAGTTGCTGCTGCTGAGCAAGTTAATTAACCTGCTGGTCTTGTTCTTTTAAAACAGAACGCGATTCACACCTTTATGCAGCATGGGTCTCACCTGGCTGCAAGAGAGAAAGCCAACCTGTGAGAGTCGGGGCCCTGGGCCCGCCCCGAGTTGCTCTCCGCCTGTGAAGCAAAGTGTGGTGTTCACACGTGTACCCACTCTTCGCCGGGTAGAAGATTCTCCTGTGCTAGGTGCGCAAATGCAAGCTTATGTCTTTAAAAAATGATAATCCAGGTTTCTATAGCAAGTAATGTAGTGGTGGCTTTTAGTGCTATTTCCCTAGGGGAAGAAAGGGTAGGGCTTAACAATGTTGTAAAAGAAAATGTATTTGCTTTTGACGGTTGGATTATTCACTTAAAATGACTAGAATGAAAGTTTCTGGCAGAAATATGATTGTATTTGATAAGAAAAAAATCTCGGTGAAATCAGTATGTTTACATATCATCTCATGGCCTTATTATATAAAAATATGGCTATAATTATATAAGAAGAAAAGATTATCTACTCAGAAATTTTAATTTTTCTCAGTTCCATACAGGAAAAACACATTTAATGCACTGAAAATAATTTCATTGACATCATAGCTTAATGCTTATTCCTGCCTGGAACTGATCAGATATTTTTAAATTTGGAATTACATCTATGCTAATATAGCATTGATTTTGCAACAGACTGATTTGTAATTGCTACATTTTTACAATAAAATAATCTATACATAAGAAGAATGGTATTTGATTTCTTTTGGCTCCCGTTATAACTTGGACTCTTAATCTAAATATCCTGTATCATCAGATGCTTACCCTTAAAACTGAAAATACCAATATCACAAGGATACTATATTATTTGTTTAAACCAGTAGCCTTTAGACACAGCTTTCTGAGACACTGCGGACCAGAACTTTTAATTCTATTGGGAAAATAGCAAATTTCCCAACTTTGAAAATTACTTAGATCTCTTGTCCATTAACTCACTTCCTTATCTGATTATGAATTTTTATTTAAGAACCTCCTGTTCTTTTCTTTCTTTTTTTCTTTATCTCATCTTTGCCTATCATGCTTAAAATCAAGTGGAATGCTCTAGAGGTGAGCTCTTGAGTACTGAATGAAACCTGTTTTCTTTGAAAATCCTTATTCCCTTCATCCTAGCTCTTCAAAACCAGTTTGTACTCACAGGAATTCCCTGAGATCTTGGGCTTCAGGAAACCATTGGACCCCTAGTAGATACAAACTTGCAGTCTTTTAGCTCAAACTTTTTTTAACCCCCTTGCCAAATTCTCTTGCCTAAATCCTTCCTGTACTTGGCGTGTGCTTGGAAACTGTTTTATTTGTCAACATAGAAAGTAAAATTGTCCATTTGTGCCTAGTGGTGAATACTTTCAATATAGTGACTTCACTACAATTCTGGCTTTTTACAGTATTAAATATATAAGATAAACTCATAAAAATTAACATAATTTGACGATGGGGAAGGAGTTTATTTGAAAATTGGTTATAAGTACAAAGATGGAGTTTTTGAGATAATTTTCTGCTTTGGTCTATTCTGTCGTCTAGAAATAAGTCACTAGGTAAAAATCACATGTATCTAACAAGTTTCCTGTATGTAAAGATCTGACACCTGGAAGTGTCTCCACTTTTGCTCTGGAGACCTCTTTTTATAATTTTCAAAGATAAATATTGATAAGGTTAACTTCTTCAGTTAGGTTTTACTTCCTGGGAAGTAGTACTGAATTATATTCCTTTTAAGTGACATTAAAATACATCTTAAGAGTTTCTGAGCCAAATTTATAAGGAGAATAAAATTAATAAGAGGTGGTATGTTACAGAGGCTTTAGAACCACAGAGACCAAGATTCAAATCCATGCTCTGCTGTTTTCCACCTGTGGATATTTGAGCAAGTTGCTTCACTCTCTGAGTATTAGTTCCCTCATCTCTAAGTGGAACCAATAATTGTTCTAGCTCCCTAGGGTTGTGTGATGATTATTCAGAATATTTGACCTTGACTACCACTTCTTTCCAGCTCAGCCACCCTAGGACCCCATCTTGGTCAGCTTTTGCTTTGTAACAAACCACCTCAAAACTAAGTGACTTCAAACAACAATCATGTATCACTCATGTATCCAAGTCAGCTAGGGATTGGCTGATCTAGGCTGGGCTCAGTTGTGGCAGCTTGTTGATGTGGCTCTGTGTCACATGTCTCTCATCCTTCTGGGATGCATGGTGATGGCTAGTCCATAGTGATGGCAGAAGTGCAAGAATGCAAGGAAAGGAAACCTACTCTTTTTCCTTTCTCGGGAAATTGAGATTGCAAGAGTGAAATCCCAATTGCACAAGTGTTTTTCAAGCCTTTGTTCATGTCATGCCCACTAATATTTCACTGGCCAAAGCAAGTCACATGGCTAAACCCAAATCCAAGGGTGAGGAATTGTACTCCACCCATGGAGGTGACTCTCTGTGTGTGTGTGTGTGTGTGTGACTCTATCTGAACATTAATTTACCATAGACTTCCCCTCCTACTAGTTCTTCGACACTACTAGAATTTCCAATTAGTTCTCAATGGTCTTCACCCTCTTTGTGTCCTTACTTCCCTTCTTACTTTGTTTACATTTTATCTAGTTCTAAATAATAACTACTCCAGAACCCAGCTTTGGTCAAGGACGCCTCTCAGTGACTCAGTTCTTGCCCTGGAAATGACCATGACCGAAGCAAACCACAGCCCTGTTGACTGGGCTTTTTAAAATTTGACCACAAACCTCAAGCTAGCCCGCAGTGCTGCCTGGAAATCTGTTTTTCCCTCCTCGGAACCCTCCCACTTGGCTCCCCCTCTCCCTTCAGCTCCTTAATTCACCAAGGATAGAATAACTTTCTTATCTTTTCCTCCACCAGAGTCTTCCAGCTTGCCAGCATCACCATCCCCATGCTCTCCTTTCCTTCCTGTTGACAGAGATGAGCTCTGCTCCTGCTGAAGGCCGGACCTCGAATGCGCACTGGCCCCATGCCTTCCCTCCTGCTCTTGGTTCCCCCTGCCCTCTCCTACCTCATTCCTGTTAGCTTGCAAACCTGCTCTTCCAAGTCTCATCAAATCCTCTCTTGCCCTCATAGGGCTCTCCTGTTATTTCCCCCTTTGTTGAAAAATATCTTAAAAGAATTTCCTTTACTTGCTATCCCTCCTGTCTTCTATCATCCCTTGAACCTACTACAGTCAGGCTGCCCTTGCCAAGGTCACCAGTGGCTTCCATGCTGCTAAAACCCAATGGTCCCATCCAGCAATGCCACTTCTGGGTGTATACCCAAAAGAAGTGCAAGCAGTGACTTGAAGGGATATGTATTCACCCGGTGTTCATAGCAACATTACTCACAATGTCCAAAAGGTGGAAAAAACCCAAGTGTCCATTGATGGATGAATGAATAAACAAAATTTGGTATATCCAGACAATGGAATATTATTCAGACTTAAAAAGGAAGGAAATTCTAACACATGCTAGAACATGGATGACCCTTGAAGACATGACACAAAGGAAATAAGCCAGATGCAGATGGACAAATATAGTATTGTTCCACTTATATGAGGTCCCTTTGTGGTTCCCAGGGCTGCGGGAGGGGGAAACAGATAGTTAGTGTTTAATGGTTACAGAGTTTCAGTTTGGCAACAGGAAAAAGTTCTGGAGATGGATGGTGGTAACAGGTGCACAACATTGTGAGTGTATTTAATGCCACTGAATTGTACACTTAAAAATGGTTAAAATAGGGGTGCCTGGGTGGCGCAGTTGGTTAAGAGACTGCCTCTTGGTTTCAGCTTGGGTCATGGTCTCAGGGTCATGAGATTGAACCCCATGTTGGGCTCCACGCTTAGCACGGAGTCTGCTTGAGACTCTCTCCCTCTCTCTCTGCCCCTCCCCTCTGTTCTCTCTAATAAATAAATAAATCTTTAAAGAAAGGTTAAAATATTAAATTTTGTATTATATATATTTTAGCACAATAATGACAACAGTCATTCTTGACTCACGTGGTCTCTTAGCAGTGTTTGACACAGTGGATCATTGGAACCTCTTTTTTTTTTTTAAAAAATAAGAGCTTTTTAGAGATATAATTTATATACCATAAAATTCAAAGAAAGTGTACAATTCAGTGGTTTTTAGTATATACACAGACTTGTATAATCATCACAATTGATATTGGGACATTTTTGGCACCCCCTCGCCCCCCAAAAACCCTGTACCATTAGCAATCACTCACCATTCCCCCATCTGAATCCTGCACCACCCCTTGACCATCACCCATCTAGCTGCTGTGTTAGATATGCACATTTCACTTAAATGGAGTCCTACAGTGTATGGTCTTTTCGACTGGCTTCTTTCACTTAGCATAATGTTTTCAAGGTTCTTACATGTTGCGGCATGTGTTAGTACTTCATTTCCTCTTATTGCCGAATAATATTCCATTGTATAGATATGCTGTGTTTTATTTGCCCATTCATCAGTCGATAGACATGTGGATGTCTCCACTTGTTGGCTACTATGAATAATGCTGCTAGAACGTTCAGGTACATGCTTTTGTGTGGATACATGTTTTCATTTCTCATATTCTCACCTTAAAAGGCATTTCACTTAACCTCTGGCACACCACTGTCTAAAGATCAACTGGTATTTTATTAATATTATATTATATTATTTATTTTTAAAGATTATTTATTTGAGAGGGAGTGTGTGCACAAGTGGGAGGGGCAGAGGAAGAGGAAGAGAGAAACTCAAGCAGACTCCGGGCTGAGCATGGAGCCAATGTGGGACTCGATCTCACAACCCTGAGATCATGACCTGAGCTGAAACCAAGAGTCAGACTCTCAATTGACTGCATCCTCCCGGGTGCCCCTCAGCTCCTGGTATTTTAAAATTGATTGCTTGCTCTTCTGAAAAGAGGACTAGATCTGGCTTTTAAGCTCTGGGAAGGATCTCCTTGTTCTTTTCAAATTCAGTGTCAGAATTTTGGTTTAAAAATACATTAATTTTGTGTTTCCCTAATAAAGGAGTATCACTTTAACTTATCTACTAAGGAAATGAGTTTTAAGAACTTAGCACATGCTTTTCTCAGAGAAAAGTGGCCAAGCTACTTGGCCATATCTTTGCCTCTTAGTTCGCGGTACCACAAAGCAAATGGCCAAATTTCACTTTAAATGAACTGATAAGACAAATTGAAGGCTTTAAAATCCTTATCAGAGCTTTTAAAGATGTGAAAGATTGGTAGAGGTGAACTCAAAAAGTTCTGTATACTTTTGAATTTTGGACAATTTTATTTTATTTTGTTTTTTAAAATTTTTTTAAAGATTTTATTTATTTATTTGACCGAGAGAGAGTGAGAGAGGGAACACAAGCAGGGGGAGTGGGAGAGGGAGAAGCAGGCTTCCTGCTGAGCAAGAAGCCAGACGCGGGGCTCGATCCCAGGGCCCCGGGATCATGACCTGAGCCGAAGGCAGACGCTTAACCATCTGAGCCACCCAGGCGCCCCATGGTTAGAATTTTGGACAATTTTAAATAATCACATATGAATATACTGAAAGTTTTCTATGGAAAGCTCTATTGTGATCTTTTTTATAAAGGATATTATTCCCTCATTTCACTGTTTGATAAGTAAATTTTACATCATTGTTTTAGGTTTTTGTTTTGCTTTGGTACCGTTTGCTTAAAGTGGGGTATTTTAAGCAGCTCTTTGTATTTTCCATTCTTCAATGAATTGTGTCATGAAGCTATATGTTTAAGTTCAAATTTTAAAGAGTATAGTGGGTTGAATGATGTCCTCCAATAGGATAGGACCATGTCCCAACCTCCAGAACCTGTGAAGGTGACCTTATTTGGAAAAGAGTTTACAAATGTCATTAAGTGAAGGGTCTCAAGATACGATCATCCTGGATTATTCAGATGGTTTCTAAATCCAATGATGAGTATTCTTCTAAGAGACCAAAGGGGAGAAGGAGGGGCAGGTCACATGCAGATGGAGGCAGAGATTGGAATCTTGTAGCCATAAGCAAAGGAGGCCTGGAGCCACCAGAAGCTGAAGGAGGCAAGGAAGGATTCTTTCCGAGAGCCTAGGGAGGGGCATGACTGTGCCAATACCTTGATTTCAGACTTCCAGCCTCCAGACTGGGAGAGAATGAGTTTCTTTTGTTTTAAGCCTTTAAATTTGGTAATTTGTCATGGGCAGCACTAGGAACCTAATACAAAGGGTTGCTGATTTAATGGTTTTGTAAGGGGAAAACTTTCTTTTTTTTTTTAAGATTTTATTTATTTATTTGACAGAGAGAGACACAAAGCGAGAGAGGGAACACAAGCAGGGGGAGTGGGAGAGGGAGAAGCAGGCTTCCCGCCGAGCAGGGAGCCCGATGTGGTGCTCTATCTCAAGTCCCTGGGATCGTGACCTGAGCCGAAGGCAGACGCTTAATGACTGAGCCACCCAGGTGCCCCTGGGGGAAAACTTCTTGAGTGGCAGACGGATAAACTCTTTTTTCTGTGAATTGCTTGAGGCCTCTGTTACTCTTCCCCCCCACTTCCTTTCCCCCAGCTGCTCTGTCCCCAGTTCATTCCCCTCCATCCCCCTGCCTCAACTTCTTGGTTCTGCTCCTTCCAAGCTCTGCCTGGAAGTTCCTAGTTACATCCTGTTAGCACATTTCCAATTTTCTGGACAATCTCTTATTTTTACTTTTTTTAAAGATTTTATTGATTTGACAGAGAGACACAGCAAGAGAGGGAACACAAGCAGGGGGAGTGGGAGAGGGAGAAGCAGGCTTCCCGCCAAGCAGGGAGCCCGATGCAGGGCTTGATCCCAGGACCCTGGGATCATGACCAGAGCCAAAGGCAGACGCTTAACGACTGAGCCACCCAGGCACCCTGACAATCTCTTCTTTTAGTGGGACTGTGGGCTTTGATACTGTCCATTGACATGGTACTTACCTCTTTAGATGGCCAGGACGGGGTTCCCAAATTCAAAATGTACAAGCATTCTGGATGTATGAAAAAAACAAAAACAAAACAAACCACAATAATGCAAGAACAAAGCTGAATGTCTGGAAGGAGGTATGACATGGTGACCAAGTGCTCTGCCCCATAAAGGGGCCGTTTCTACTTAGCTCCAGGAAATTATTGCCACAAAGCATTAAGAAACTAGTGTTGCCAGATAAGATTTTTTAAAAGAAGCTGGATATCTGGATTTTTCTGTAAATCCCCTGATTTTTAGATAAGGTAACTAATTCATAGTAAGAAACAAAACCAAACCTCAAAACAACTAGCAAAAAAAAAAAAAAAAGTGTGTGTGTGTACCAAACAAAAACATATCTGAAGGCCCCAGTGGCCCATATAATCCATTTTGTCTTAGGATGTAGAGGTGGTGGGTAGGATCATTGCATATATTTCTTGCATCTTTTGGGGCTCTTTAAAAATCTCCATCTCCAAAATGCTAGGCAATGGAAGTGTCCTCAAAGGTCTAATAGGTCGCTAACACCTTCCTGGGTCTGCCTTGCCGAATTTAACAACACAGAGACACTTTAACATGTTAAATATTTTATTCACATTGTTTACAAACTATATCCACCTGGAAAACACGTGAGTCCAAAAATAGATTATTTTACAGTAATTCACATTTTTTTTTAAAAAAACACGTTGCTTTTGAAGTGAAGCTCTAAGCACGGAGGTCCCGAGCCTGTCCCGTGGTTCAGTGCCTGGTGGCCTGGAGCTTCCTGCTCTGCCAGAGAAGCAGTCCTCAGGGCAGGCCACCTCCTGTAGGTCACTAACGGCTTCCCTACCAGTGAGCGATGAGGAGATGTCAGTGCAGACTTTAACCCGTGAATGTTTACTGATAGCAATTCACTGTCGCTACTTTTGTCAAGGAAATACATTTTAGAGCTTGAGTACATGCCAGGAAGACAAAACAAAGGAGACTTACCATGTAATTGGCCATTACAAAGTTGTCAGGCCCTGGCCAGTTCTATAAAGGTTTAATGTCTGGGCCCACAGACAGAATCAACAAGTCACAATTTTGTGGTGTTGACGGCCTGGATCAGAAACAGTGGTGATTTGGAAATTGGCGCAAGGACCTGTGGACTAACACTGCTGCGCCGCCCCCCCGACCCCGCACCACCAGGAGAAGAGGGGGACTAAACTCAGCAGGAATTAATAATGTGCCTAATTTTAAGTGTGTGGCCCTAGAAAGATGGCCGTGGGAGTTTTGCTGAATGGCCCAAAAGATGCCCTGGTTCAGATACTTACTTTAACCTATGCTAAATCCAGTCATGTCCCAGCTTGATGCATTCGCTCTTTTATCAATTAGGAAACTTTCCTATGGCATTTGACTTTAATGATTAAAAATCTACAGGAGGCTTGTCTTACCCACATCTCACCCTGTCCCACTGTACTAGCTACCAAAGAGTCACTTTTCCTGTTTGCCTTTGCCAGGTGCCACAGTTAAATATGTGAAAACTTTTGGGCCCTCGGAAGGGGAGCACTGGATGAGTCTCACATGGCAGAAAGGGACCCTTTTCCTCAGAGTAGGTACCAATGGCACTGGCTATTGTGTTTCTGCAACTCTTGATTAGGGGAGGAATGTTTGATCAAGGTACCACAAAAGATCATTCTTTCCTTCCCATGGGTAAGAAAAAAAGAAGGAATTCCTTCAAGGGTTGCTGTCACCATGGGAGTAGACAACAGCAACTCTGAGTCCAAATGTAAGCTGAGAAGCGGAGAAATTTTATCAGCACCTTTGCAGGTGAACGACAACAACAACAACGAAAAGACTTTCAAATGTCTATTGCAATGTGAGTGATTGTTTTAGAAGACAAGAAATCTGTACAAGGAGCTTGACGACGGAGCAGATCATAGCTTGTCTTCCTGCCACCCGTGTGCGTTTTTTCCAAATTTGTACACTAGCCTTCGGTCGACCCGTTCCAAAATTCCCGTTTTGTAGTAGTACCTGAGGAAGATAGCAGAAGAGAAATGCGGGGAGGCCCGCACCCCAGGAAGACAACAGAACATAAACACTCCCCTCATTCCTCTTGGGTGACCAGGCTGGTCTTTGGTTACCCTGGTATTTTCACACCCTGTTATCAGCTTACACTTAAACCTTTCCCAGACACCTTGAAGACTAAGCCTCACCACACTCAGCTCAAAACGAGTTTTGTGTGTGTCTGTGTGTGTGTGTGGGATGGCCTGCATTCAGAGTGATCCCCGGGGCCGCTGCCAAGAATGAGAAGGTTGGCGTGTCCGTTTACAAACCATAATCCCACCTGTAACTAAGAACCAGAGTGTTGTCTCATGACCTTTTGATTATCAAGGAAAAAGCTGCAAAAACAGTTTAATTTTCTATGGGTGGCCATTTTATATAACTCTGTCCAAAGGCTCATGCATTTCATGCATTTCATGCTATTAACTCACCTCAGAGCTCGGCTCAACTTTTCATACGTCATTCTGTCATTTTTCTTCCTTTGTCCCCACATCTTTGCCAGGGCTTCTGACTTTACCACCCGAAAGATACCTTGTTCCCTGTCTTCCCATTCCAGAATGCCACAGTTTTCTTCAGGAGAGAGAAGCAGGTCTCGCACAAATTCCCATAGATGAGAACTTTGGAGGCCTTTTGAGAAGGAAAAAAAGAAAAGTTACTTACAAATTTAAAAAAAAAATTCTAAAAGTTGTACAATTTCTCATCAACTCATGAGAATTGCTGTTTTATTGGGGTTATTTTCTATATTATGACTGAGTGCTCTACTTGGACCCTCATTGGGCTGCGAAATGTCTGTCTTCTATTAAAGCAATCATAAGGGACACCTGGGTGGCTCAGTCGGTTAAGCATCTGCCTTCAGCTCAGGTCATAATCCCGGGGGCCTTAGATCAAGTCCCGCATTGGGCTCTCAGCTCAGCAGAGAGTCTGCTTCTCTCTCTACCCCTCCCCCCTGCTCCTGATCTCTCTCTCTCTTTCACACACACACACTCTCTCTCAAATAAATAGAATCTTAAAAAAAAAATGAAGCAATCATAAAACACACGTATAGGGACACCAGATTTATACCAACTAGAAACACCGTGGCTCCCAGCCTGTCCTTGCTCTGTGGAACCATGGACTAATTCTTAGGAATTAATAAAATGACAGTCAAATGATCTTTCTGACAGACAGTATGGTGGTACTAAAAATCCATAGCCACACCAGTCTGGGCAGACCGGTCCTACAATGATGTTTTTCATGAAAAACTGGTGTTTCTCCTGTTTCATTAGAGTTGTGGTTAAGATTGGTTCTAGGGTCCAACTGCTTGGGTTTGGGTCCTGAATTCACCTCTTCCTAGCTCTGTAATTGTAATCTCTTCAGTTATCTGTAAAACAGGATCAGAGGAGTACCTACCTCATGGCAGAAGTTGGAGGATTATGATTTTACACATACTAAGTGACTGGCACCAAGCCTGGCAGACTTGATTTGGCCCTGGGTAGGTCTGTCTTAGGGTCGGGGAAAGGCTAAGAGAATTGCCAGCACACGGTGTTTACTATCGTCTCTGAGTCCTTAAGAGAGAGGGACCCTCAGCAGACCAGGAGAAATAAACCCTTATTCAGAAATTCACCATGGTTAGACAATTTCTTTGCTTCGTCATTTTAATTCTCACAACACCATGTCCAAGTGAAAAGAAATGTAATTTTGGTAACAATTTATAAAAGTCAACTTCTCTGCTGTCTTCTTTGGGGGACACCTGGTCCCCTTCAAACATTCAGTGGTCCAAGCTTATTAGAGGACTTTGTCTCATGAATAGTTTTCGGAAATTAGAAACGAGAAAGGGCATGTCTACACTTACTCGTTCGACTATGACTGGGACAGTCTTGGCTTCTGACGCCACTTGTTTTCAAGCAATTAGAATCATCATCTGCAATAGAATGAGTTACAGCAGTAGGACTGGTTCAGACCTCAAATCATACCAAAATGAGCAACTATGAACTGGACACCGTTGCAGTAGAAGACCCCACGTGAGGCTTTGGGGATAATTAGTAGGTGGGCGGTGTTTGCCTTTAGGGGGCATTTGTGTTCAAACACTAGGGGCCTGCAGGGTGCCAGGTTCTGGGCTCCGTGCTGGGAATAAGCGAGAACAAGACAGCTCTGGTCCCTGACTCACAGGCAAGGTGAAATACAAGTCAAACAAGTCACCCATAGTAAGTGTTATGAAGGAAGCAAGACATGGGGTAGAGAATGAAGGGTCGGGGGGAATGCCTGCTTTAGACGGGGTGGCCAGGGAGGGCCTCGTGCACAGGAGGCATCCACACTGATGTGAGGGGGTGAGAGAGTCTTCCGGAGGGAAGGAGCAGCACAGAGAGAGAACCCGTGAGGCAGGCATGTGGTGTGCCCAGGGGCGTGGGGTAGACAGTGATGCTGGGGCCCGAACCCGTGGATATCCCAGGAAAGAGCACTCAGGGCAGAGGGAGGGCACGTGCAAAGACCCTGGGGTGGAAGGTGTGGGGGAGTCTCAGAAAGAGCCAGGAGGCCATTATGGCTGGAGCAAAGTGAGCAAGATAAAATTCTAAGAATTTTATCCAGAGTGGTGGAGGCAGGGCTTGAACCAGAGCAGGTCCGTTCCAAAGCTAATGTTCAGAACTACTACTTTTATCTTGTCTTTCATAGGAGGCGTTCAATGAACACTTCATGAATAATTATTAGCTGAGTTTGTTGAGTGTTTAGTATTGCCAGGCTCTCAATCTCACCCACCCTTGTGATGAATGTCTATTCCTATCCCCATTTTACATAGAAGTAAATGGAGGCAGAGTGAGGTCAGGGAGCTCACTGCAGCTCATTCACTCATTCGTTCATGAGCGTTGAGCCACAGTATGCCCACTGTACGAGGTGCTGGAAGCACAGACCGAGGTGGGTATCTCCTCTTGGGGACTTACATCCAAGTGGGTAAGAACATCTAATGAACAAGCGATAAATGCTGAGAATATTGAAGCAGGGTGGGGGTGGGGAAACAATGGTGAAGAGGGGTGAGCCAGCAGACAAAACTCCCTGACGAGGAGGTATTGGAGCAGGCAAGCAGCGAGCGCCGGGGATGTTTGGGGGGGGCGGGGGGCATCGTTCAGGTCACGTGCCCGGCCGCTGATGGAGCCCAACTCTGCGCCCAAGCAGGCCGGCCTCAGAGCCCTCAGCTCTAGTAGCTACAGCGCATGTCCGCTGGAACGAACAACGAGATGAATGCAGGCCTTCAGCTTTCAGGGTCCCCTCTTTTCATGGGCTACAGCCTGGAATTGCATTGATGCGGAACACCAGGCCCATGCACCCAGGCAGGTGTGTGCAAAGCACAAATGGATGCCCAGGAGGAACCCGCTGAGGACAGAAGGTAGCTGCCGGCTGGAGCGGAGTGAAAGCAGGTGAGCAGGGCCGACAGCTGGCCGATGACCAGAAGCAAGATGGCCGCCCTTCTGTCTGGTGGAGCGCCATGCTGCTTGGCGCCACCCGGAGGGAGGACCTAGTGTTGCTTTAACTTAATCTTTGAAGAAGAGAGAAAGCAGATGAAAGGCGAGATAAACCAAGGTGAGTTATGAACCGGTGAGTAGACAGTAAGCTTGCCCTGAAATGCCGAAATGGCCAGAAGAGGAAGGGAAAACGCTGCCCTTTTAATTTGTGTGATGGCTCCCATGTGCTTGCAGGTGAGGGATCTCTGGTTTGGTGGGCTGAGCCCAGGACAGGTCAGTGTGAGGCAGGGTTGTGTGGACTGTGGGAGCCTCTCCTGGTGGGTCTTGCCAGAGATATCCCTGTTTTATCTGCTCCCAGTTCCCCGCGGTGGCTTTGACGCCACTCATGGCTCCACAGATCGGAGGCCTCGCTCGGCTGGGGGTGGCCGTGGGGTGGCCGTGGGGTGGCCGTGGGGGCAGAGGCCCTGTAGCCGTACTGAGTTAGCTGGGCAGAGGCAGGTTACCAAGTCAGAACGTCCACCAGCGCCAGCACCAGGACCCCACCGAACTTCTCCGTAGATGCCCCCGGTGCTCCGGGCGACAGGTCCCCCCGACGCAGAACTATCTTTGTCTCGGAGGGGTCCCTGCAGCTGGGCGGTGCCTGGTGCAGGGGCGACGGGGGCATGGCCTGGGTTCTCTGCTATCCGAGCAATTTGGAGAGGTTTGGTTGCCTTGAGACTAGAGACTGTTAAAATGTGGCCACAGGATATATTCTCAGTCCAGAAGCCGAGATGGGGGCTGGAGGTGCTGTTTCCCAAACAAGCTCATGATATCCCCCATGCACGAGTGGGGCTAGGGAGCCTACACTCTGTGACGGGAGGAGAAGCTCTGAGCCTCGGAACAGGAGGCTCGCGGCGGCGACCCCAAGCCTGCAGGCTTGGTTTTCTGGCATTTCTGCAGTGGGGGTGGGAAAGGGCGGGTGGAGAGAGAGACAAGTGGAGAGTGGCCGGGGGGTGTCACTTGGGCCAGCCCGACAGCTTCAGAGCTTGTCGTGCCTGGGCCCCTTCCACAGGTACCGAGCTGAAAATCATCTTGTTCTCTGGGTCACTGAGGAGCTGCATACCCAGAAGAGTCTAGAGCTTTGGGTCTCAACTGAGGGGGCAGCAGAATGAAGAGAAGGGTCTGGGGGTATGTTCACCTGTCTGTGTGCATGTGTGTGCGTGTATGTGTGTGCATGTGTGTGTGTGTGTGCACGTGTGGTGAATGGCCCAATGTTAGAAGCACAGACTTTGAGAAAATGAGTTGGAATCCCATCTGTGCACTTCTTTGCAAGTCATTGCTCTTCTGGTTCCTCAGATGTAAATGGGGGCAACCATCCTACCTCACGGAGTTAGAATGAGGATGAAATGAGTTAGAGCAGGTAAAATACTCCGCCTGGCACTGCCTGGGGCACAGGGCTTCACAGGTGGTAAGGGTAGGTGTTCGTCTTCGCTGCAGACTGATGGGAACGCTGCTTGCAGCCCCAGGATGCCAGCTGTCCTCATTGGCCAGGCCTTGGCCTCTGGCCGGCACATCTCATTTCTGCACTGGGGGTGACTGGGATCACGAAACATTAGCCGGGCCATAGGCATTGTGATCATACGTCCTGGATTTTCTAGAACAGGCTCATGGTATAGTCTGTCAGTCTGTTGTCTTCATTCTTGTTAAACTATATGTTGGGGGTTCTGTCTGGGGAGAGCTGTGGGAGAGCCAGAGATGGGCCTCAGTGGCTCCGGGGGAAGGCCACGGTTTCCTGGTGTGGTAGTGGAGGCTGCCATTTGGCAGAGCTGGGGTGCTGCTTTTTGGTGTGCTCACTGGACCACTTAACCCTGAGTTCAGTCTAGAAATGGTGCCTCTCTCGTTGGTAAGGCTGGGCAGGGCCTGCACGGAGCAAAGCCTGGGGCAGCCGTCGTGCAGGGTTTGTCTCCGTAGAGATGCCAGCTCAGAGCCCTTGTCTTATCACCACCTTTACCTCCAGAAACTTCTCTCTGTCCCTCCCATCACCATCACTCTGCCTCCTGGACAATAGCCTCCTAGCTGGGCTCCTTCCTGACCCAGACATGGCAGTCTGGGGCATCTTCTTAAAATGCAGATGGGATCTTATTGTTTCCTGCTTCAGCCGCTTCCCAGCCTGCTCAGAATGAAATCCAGACTCAAAAGCTGTATGTGACCTGCTCCTGCCCTGCTCTTGGCCTCAGCTTCTGCTTCTCCCTCTGCTGATGTTGCTGATGATCTACCAAGGTGCTATCTGAGAGAACCATAATGATGGGAATCTGAGCAGTCGTACGTGGTAGCCACTAGCTGCCTGTGGCTATTGAGCACTTGGAATGTGCCTAGTGTGACTCAGCAGCTGAATTTTCACTTTATTTAATTTTAATTAAACTTAATGGCCACATGTGGCTACCGGTCACTGCATTGAGCCTCCTAGTGCTAGTTTTCTGATTCTTTCTCAAGGGCTCCAAAACCGTTCCTGCCTCAGGGCCTTTGCACTTGCCGCTCACTCCCTGTACCCTTTTCTTCCCTCTTCCTGGCTCACTTCTGCTCATCTTTTAGGCTTAATTTAAATATCTCTTCTTCCAGGAAGTCTTCCCTCATCCCTAATTGAAATGCAAACTGTTCTCCATCACACACACAGCACCCTGTCCTTTTTCTTTGTGGTATCATCATACTTAGCCATTACAAATTTATTACAGGGATTGTTTGTTTGATGTCTCCCTCACTTGCTTTATGATGGAAAGACCAAGGTTGCGCCCATTGCTGCAGCCATGGCACATAGTAGGTGCCTGGGCCTGGCTCATGGTAAGGGTACACTAAATGGTTGTTGAATGAATGAATGAACTAAAAGGGAAAGGAAGGGATGCGTGAGGAGAGGAAGGGATTAAGGGCTTCAGACTTAGACACACCTGGATTATCTGTCACCTTCCTAACCTTGTCACTTTAACCTCTAAGCTTGGTACTAGGTCTTGTCTTACAGGGTTATTAGAAAGATTACCTGAAACAATGTTGGTAAAGATTCTAGCACAGGGCCTGGCTCATTATAAGCAGCCGGGGAACGCTGGCCACCATTACTATAGCAATAACTCTAATTGGGGCTAGTTCTATACTCAGGTAACAACTTCTACAGAACTTATGGGACACACTGTCTCTTCCTAGCTATGAGGGAGGCAGGCTGGCAAAAAAAGACACCCATTTATAGGCAGGAACACTGATCACTGGGAGAAGTTTGGGCAGGTCAAACTCACTGCTGCTTAGGAGTATGGCAAGCGCCTGCCCTGGGCTCAAGCCTTTAGACAGACTCAGTAATGGCCCCTAGGCCTCAGTGGGCTCATTTCTTTCCGGGGAGCGGGGGGGCTTTGCCTGGACTGGGCTGGGTGGAGACAGCAGGGTTTGTACCCCGCAGACCGTTATGGATGGATGGGAAACTCCACGGGAACTTTGTTCACAGGTAGGAGAGGCTCTGCCCTGCGGCCCGAGTGTGGGGA